TCTCCTTTCCTCTTGTACAAGGTGACAATGACAGCATCATGAAGGTCTGAAGGCAGTTCACCTCGTTCCCAGCAGTGCAGCACAAATTCGTGAAACTTAGCATGGAGTGCTTGGCCACTATGCTTCCAGATTTCAGGTGAGATTCTGTCAACCCCAGTTGCCTTGCCAATTTTCACCTGCTGTATTGCTTTAAGAGTTTCTCCCATGGTGGGGGCAGTATCCAGTTCAGTTTTCACTGGTATCTCTTGGGTAACACTAACAGAATGCACCTACCAGCAGCCTCCTTGGCCACTTCATCAACCAGGTGATTTCCTGTATTCACTGGGGTCTCTGAACTGATAAACTTCACAATGCACTACTGTCACCTTTTGAAACTGCACCCCCTCTAAATCTCTGTATTATTTATTCATGTTTCATGGGAGATCCCTGAGAGGTTAACAGCCCTGTGTCTTTCCAAATGACTCCATGGGCATGGACCTCCAAAAGCAAATTTTGAGTCAGTCCAGTCTTTTTCTGTGAGAGCTCTATCACTCTCATCAGTGACATCAATTCTGCTTTCTGAGTCAATATGTTGGGGGTCAGAGATTTGGTTTCTATCACCTCATGCTGAGTCACCACTGCACACCTAGCTTTTTTGATTTCACTTCTTACAAAGCTGCTTCCTTCCACAAAGAGTTCCCAATCCACTTCTTCCAAGGGAGTGTCCTGTAGGTCATCTCAACTAGAATACACCTGTTCAATGGTCTGCAAACAATCATGGACCAGTTCCCCTTGTTCCAGCTCAGCTGTTAAGAACATTGCTGGATTCAGAAGGTGAGTGTGAAGGTTTGGACTTGGCTCCCTGCCAAATGCCCAACCCTCCAGTAGCAGCCTCCCCTCCTTTTCCCCTTTTCTATTTCCCTCAGGGCAAAGGAAAAAAACTATGCAAATTGAAGAATTCGAAAACCAAGCTAGTTATATAAAAAGTATATTTTATGTATATTACAGTTAAGATGCTATGTACACAGCACAGGGAATCCAAACACCCCCCGAAGGGATAGGGAAAGGGGAAAAAAGGGACAAAAGGAAATAAAAAGGGACACCAAACAGATATGCACAATCAAACCCGAGAACCAGTAAAATAACTAGTAAAACAAATCTCACCACGTCCCTTAGAAAGCAGGCTTGGCAGACACAGCCTGCACTCTCCAAGCTTCCACATGGCAGGCCAGTGGATGCTGCAGGAGGCCTCAGCCTTAGATAAGTGAGACCAACGCAGGGACCCACTGTTCTCGAACTTCAGCGGAAGAGAAGAAGAGCGAAGGCCTTTCCTCCCTTCTTATTTATACCACAATTTACGTAAAAATCGTATGGAATACTGGGAATACTGCCCCTTCCTTGGTTACAAACTGGTAACCAGGGAAGGCCTAGATTAAAACCACCACAGTGAGTTACTTTTAACTCCATATCATCTTGTTCTAAAAATCCTGCCTAATATTTTAACATACTGCTTGGTGATAACCAGTGTCCTCCTCTTTGTTCCAACACCATTGTAGGCATTGGGGCACAAAACCAGACAATTTCTGACCCTGGGTTAATTTTCTTGCTTGCTGGATTAGTAGGACTGTTGCTACTACTGCCCTAAGGCAGGATGGCCATCGTTTGCTGACATCATCAAGGCACTTAGAAAAGTATTTAACAGGTCTCTTCCAAGATCCCAATCCTGACGTCAACACCCCCAGTGTTAACTGGAACCTTTCACACACAAACAGCTCACAATATTTTTCTAAGTAAGTCCAGTAGTCACAATGCAGGAGCAGTCATGTTCTCATGCTTCAGTTCCTGAAAGGTTTTCTTGCATTCAGGAGTTCAGACAAGGACTTCATTCTTTCCATTAGCTGCTGCATATAGATTGATAATCCACAGGCAACATCACCCAACCATTCCCAGAAATGGTCTCTGTTCTTTTTTAGAAAGGGGCTCAGGAGCTTGACAGAGAGCCTCTTTTCTTCACTAACCCAGACTTCTTTGTCCTTGTGAAACAGTGAAACCCAAATACAGTACTTCTTTTTCTACAATTTGAGCCTTTTTCCTAGAAATTTTGTATCCAGATCATCCTAAGAAATTTAACAGACAAAGGATCAGTTCCATGGAATGCATGGAGTTGAGAAAGCTATTAAGACGTCATCCACATACTGCAGTAATGTTACACCCTCATTTTCTTTGTGCCATCCTTCTAAGCTGGTACCAAAAATAACTGGGCTATTTTTGAATCCTTGCAGTAACAGTCCACATTGAGTCTTTCTCCCGGTCTTTGGACTTTCTTATTCAAAAGCAAGTAGCTCTTGACTTTCACTTTCCAGTGGGATGAAAAAGAAGGTATCCTTTAAGTCCAACACTGGTCTGAATTCTTCAAGGTTGTCAATAAAGTATAAGGGTTAGCTACCAACAAGTGCACATCCTGGACCATCTGACTGGTAGCCCTAAGATCTTTTACCAAGCAATATTCGAGTGTGGTTTCTTTACTGGAAAAATCAGAGTGTTAAAATGAGACTGGCATTCCACAACCAGTTTGTGTTTGAGAAAAGTACCCGTTAAGGATTCAAGTCCCTTCCTAGTTTCCAATTTCAAAGGGCACTTTTTACGTCTTACCAGTCTGACATTTGGTTTCAAATGGATCTTTACTGGTTCTGCACCCCATGATCATCCTGGAATTCTTACGGCCCATATCAGCAGGGTGACTGAATGTCAACTTCCTCTGGTGTTTCTGGTTCAGGTTCAGGAATATGTAACAAAAAGACTTGAGTGTCCAAGACCTTTTCTTCAGGAATGCGAACTTGGCTTTTTACCTTTTCAAATGTAATTTGTGCATTTAATTTACCCAGTACATCTGTTCCTAGTAGTGGCATGGGACATTCAGGCATATAAAGAAATTGAAGGGCCTATGACCCATTTACAAATTCCAAATTTTAATGGTTGGAAGAAAGTCCATTTTTCTTTTGTCCTGTAGCACCAAAAACTGAGATTATTTGTTAACTTGATTTTCCTTTACAAGTATTTAAAATATAGTACAGCTCCGATAAGTACAAGACATTCTATTTCCTCCCAACTTTCCTATAACCAGGGGATCTGTTGGGGAATCTTTTGAGTCCTTCCCCAGTCCCCTTCAGTCCTCACATTCATCATTTCCATAGCTTCCCTTGGTATTTCACAGCTTTCCTGACTCCTGTTTCTATTCCTTGGGTTTTCTCTTTTCCAGTGCCTCATTTGTTTACAAATTGCACATTGTTCTTATCTAGCCACATTTGAGGATTTTGCCCCGGTCTTTGTCCTGGTCCCCTAGTCCAATTTCCCTCTTTTTCCATCACTTGAGTTATTGCCAATGCAAAAATTTACCATATTTACTTTTCTCTTCCTTTTCTTTTTCCCTTTCTACTTCCTCACTGTTGCTGCACACAGTCCAAGTAACTTCTAACAGTTTGCTTAGGGTTCTGGACTCTTCTTTCTCTGGTTTTTGAAATTTCCATTTAATATCAGGATTTGATTGTCCAATGAATATATGTGCTAATTATGTAGCATCCTCCTTTTTCTCGGGGTCTAAATCAGTATATTTTTGTGCAGTTTCTGTGATTCTATTAAAAAATTCTATTGGGGTTTCCACTTTTCCTATGTCTCCCGTGGCGCACTCCTGGAAAAGTTGTAGCCCATGACTTGGACAGGTGCTGGGTTAAGAGCTGGTTGATGGTCAGGCCCAGAGAGTTGGCAGGAATGCTGCTGCATACAGTTGGCATCTGTTCACTAGTGGTATCCCCAGGGATCAGTGTTGGGCCCAGTCCTGTTTAATATCTTTACTGATGATCTGAATGAGGGCATCGAGTGTACTCTCAGTAAGTTCACAGATGACACCAAGATGGGTGGGAGTGTTGATCTGCTGGAGGGTAGGAGGGCTATGCAGAGAGACCTGGACAGGCTGGATTGATAGGTCAAAGTCAAGGCCAAGGTCAAGGCATGAGGTTCAAGGCCAAGTGCTGGGTCCTGCCCTTAGGTCACTGTGGCAATGGACTTTCAATATATAGAATGGAAAAAGTACTGTCAGAAATGGACTGGGGGGAAAAATGAAGAAACCAGCCCAAATGTTGCAAAAACAGGAGCTTTTAATGTTGTTTAAGTGACCATGTTTCCAAGATGGCTTTTGTAGTTTTTTGCCAACTCACCTTCTCCTTCCCAAAATCCCACTGGCAGCCTTATCTCTACTTTGGAATTTCCAGGAAATAGTCTGAAGTTTTCTCATCGGACTTCATTTACTCCTTTCTGTTGATTGTTAACCCTCGCCTGTCATTGGTGGGCTTGTAAGACCCCGTGAACTTTTGATTGCTCGTTTTGCAATCCCTCCTAAAGCTATGTATATCCCTACACAACACGATAAACTCTCTCTCCCTTTGTCCTCTCCTGCTGTGGTCTCTGTGGACTCCCTGGGGACCACCAGGCAGGGGGCAGGGAGGGAGCGCCTTCCCCTCCAGGCAGTGGGCAAAATCCCCTAGTCCTGGAGCCTCCTCCCTTTCCTATTTCAACACCGCAGGTCACAACAACCTCATGCAGTGCTACAGACTGGGGAAAGAGTGGTTGGAAAGTGGCCCAGCAGAAAAGGCCTGGGAGTGCTGGTTTGACAGCAGCTGAACATGAGCCCAGGTGTGCCCAGGTGGGTAGGGAGTCCAATGGCACCTTGCTGGTGCCAGCAATGGTGTGGCCAGGAGGACCAGGGGAGTGACTGTCCCCCTATGTTGGGCATAGGTGAGGCACGTTGAGTGCTATGTCCCGGTGTCCAGTTCTGGGCCCCTAACTGCAAGAAGGACATAGAAGTTCTGGAGCATGTCCAGAGAACGGAATAGAAGTAGGGAAGGGTCTAGAGGGTAAGACCAATGTCTGATGGAGCTGGGGTTGTTTAGCCTGGAGAAGAGGAGGGTTAGGGATGACCTTATCACTCCCTACAACTATCTGAAAGGACATTGCAGCCTGGTGGGGATTTGCCTCTTCTCCCAGGTAACAAGTGACAGGATGAGAGGACATAGTCTCAAGATGTGCCAGGGGAGATTTAAGTTGGACATTAGGAGTAATTTCTTCACATAAAGGGTAATTAAACAATGGAACGGACTGCCCAGGAAGGTGCTGGAGTCACTGCCCCTGGAGGTGTTTAAAGACAAAACCTTTAGCCATGAAAAAAAGTTAACAGGTGAAATGCCACAAACGACACTGTGATCTCTGAAAAGTGAACTGGCACGGAGAAATGAAGCTTTGGTACTGATGAGAGGGCTTTGGGCACTCCAGTGAAAGCTTTGAGCTGTAAAAGAGGGCTTTGGACCCTCTGAAAGGGGCTTTGGGTCTTCAGACTGGATCTGTGGGCCCCAAAAATGGGCCTTTGGAAATGAAAATGAGGGCCTGAACCTTGAAGTTAGGTTTTCTGCCCTCAGAGAATGCTTTGTTGTCCTAAACTAAGGCTCTGTCCCCTAAAAAGGGATCTTTGGGGGCTTAAAAGCAGTGGAAATGAAACCTCTATCACTCCAAGTGTGCCAGCTGTGACCAGACTCACAGCCCTCAGCAGTCTTTGACTCATCCAGCTGCTGCAGCTCCTGGAAGAAGCAGGAACTTTGCTGGCTGATGAACAGACCTTCACCAGCAGCGCCTGGGGAGGTCCAGTGACTTCTAGCTGCAAGAGATGCCTGTTCTGTGACAGCCATGGGGTTCTGTGGCCTCAAAAGGACATGTACCCATGTGGCCTTGTGTCACAAATGCGCAGAGATACAGCATCAGTCCAGTGATTGTGACCTCACCTGCCCAATGCTTAGTATCCTGAGGAGTGGACCAGCAAAAGCTAGTTGGCCTGAGCCGGCCTTCGGGACATCTCAGCTCCTTCCACTGATGCTTGTGTGCCTGCCTTTTTCCAAGCATTTTTCATCCTTGGCAACAGCTACAAGCACCACCAAAACACTTTTGACAGCTGAAGGTGCTTTATGGGTCACGTTTGGGGTTTCTAAATTATTTTGTTGAGCTACAATAATTTCCTTTCCCTTCAGGTGATTGGATTGGTGCTGATCTGATCTTTCTGGAGGAGATTTTTCTGGAACTCCATCATCCAAAGCTTTCCCCTCTATTCCTGAGAGGGGTGATGGCTGCAATAGAGAACAGCTCCTCTGAGTCTTGACCTGAAAATCCAAGGCACTAGAGGGAAAGGAAGGTAGCCTGAGGTCCAGAAATCAAAGTGGGTTTGTTGGACTTCTGGCAGAGTACACAGAGAAACAGACTACTTTCCAAAATTGTTTCCCTCCCAGAAGATGTCAACAGGGTGTTAGGCTTTGCCCAATGTTACTGGCTTGGCAATTAGAGCTGTCGTCCTCAGTGCTCTTGCAGAGAATGCAATATTTGAATACGCTTTTGAGCAACAATATTGTCTCATCTCTTTTCAAATGTCATTTCCCCACAGTCATTGCCAAGGGAATGGCTCTGCCACAAAGGATCCTCTTTCCCCCAGAGAAGATATGCATGGACTGGCAGCAAAGACAGAGACCTGGAGCGGGACTCCTCAACCTGGGAAATACTTGCTACATCAATGTCATCCTGCAGTGCCTGACGTACACACCCCCTCTAGCCAACTATCTGCTCTCTCATGAGCACAGCCAGTCATGTGAGTACTTCTAGGAACATCTTCTTCCAAATATCTTGGGCAAATCCCAAGGATTGACAGAACCTGGAATGAGATTTAGGAGAACAGCAGAGAACTTTAGGAAAACTTCTTTGTCAGCCCCAAGAAGCTGTTTGTCCTATTAAGGTGCATTCATCCTCAGAAAAACACCTCTTTCTAGTCCCTGCAAGTTAAACCCTCTTGACTTATTGCACAGAAAACTTCTGCTGAAGCATTAAATCCCTCTAAAACATTAAAATGTTCTGGGCTTGTCGGGACTTTGGCAGCCTGGGAGAAGTTCTAGGAAATATTAATATAATATAAGTCAAGGCACAGATGCAGACACCAGTTTAACCAGTTTAACCAGATTAACCCGTGACTGAACCCGTTGATTCAATGACACGAGGGTTTGAGTGCGGGGTTCAAACAGGGACACGTCACACCTGCAACCTTAACAACCAATCCCGACAAGGCCCTTCAGTGCGCATGTGCAACAGAGCCCTGGAGACTTCGTTTCACAGAATGCTCTTCTGGCAGTCCCCCTGAAACGCTACATCTCCACTCTTTTTATTACAAAAAGATACAGAACAGTGAAATTTTGAACCCCTTTAGTTAACCATTTTTAACATAACATCTCTCATCTAACACAGTAACTTTATTAACTGTTTTTATCTTTATGGATTTGCAGTTTGCAACAAGTATTTACTTAAGACTTTTCTCTAGAGGTCTTGGGGGTAACTTGGTAAGAATTTTAAACTTTATTTTACATAGCAATTTCTTCTTAACACAGTAATTTTACTAACTGCTTTACCTTGTAAATCTTGGGTTTGCAACAAGCAGGTTTGTCCAAGACTTTCTATTAAAGCCTTTGTGTATAGCTGGTAGAAGCAACAACTTTATTACTCTGAAGGCTTGTATATAACTAGACAGAGCATCAACTTTTATTTTTCTGAGAGTCTCAGTATAACCAGGTAGAGTATTAATCTATTTCTCTGAGGGTTTGAGTAGAACAGGAGGAAATTTAACTTTATTTCAAGGAGAAGGATTTTTAGGGGTAAGTGTGTATTTTGCTGTCCTCTGATATGTCAAGGCATATGAAGTATTAGTATTTTTAAGTCCACACACATATATGTCCACATAGCTTTTCTCACTCACAGCATTTTTTCATTCACTCGATAGGTGGCCACTTCAGTCACTCTTCACTCACAGTTAGAATTTTTATTATATCTTGGCATTTTAAGCACACATTTTAGATTTTAAGTATTATTGGCTGTGTGCTTCTCAGTCTGTCATTTCTGGTAGTCATGTTCAACAACTGTACCTGTTTTGAAGAGGAATTAACACAGGGAATATAAGGCTTAACAAACCTAAATGAGATCTATTCTGATCCAGCACTCGTTTATGCACATGCATATTCTCTTCTCCCCCCTTTTGTTTTGAAATATGTTTGGTGTGCAGTGTGCTTTCTTGGCAGTAGTTGCTCCATGATTGAGCCTTGTCTAGAAAACCAAAAGTCAATGAACTCAAAGATACATAGATGAGTCACTATTACAGTCTGTTAACACAGCTTGAAATCCAGTGTCTTCGGTAAGAGATCAATCTGCGTTGTTTCTGGTGTCTGGGATATAGTTACTTTTCAGTTCTTGTTCATCCACTCTTGGTTGCTGCCTTTTGTCTTTAATAACAAACTTGGCAAACGTGGTAATAACAGTTTAGACAGTCTTAAGTGGAGAATGAGCAGAAATAAATGTGAGGGTTAGGCAAATATGCAGTTTTTCTCTAGTCATGTCTAGGAATAGTTCAAGTCAGTTAATAAATTGAGGTAACAGCAATAAGTCATTTTATGCTAAATTGTCTTTTTACCTCAAAGTTGAAGGTTGAGGGGTGATCTTTTGTTGTGCAATCTTCTCTATTGTAGACAGTTTCATGGTTAAGTGTATGAGATTCCTTTTGGAGTGTTTGCAGTCCTGTTTCTCAGATGACATTGGTTAGAACAATCATAATCTGTTTTAACTCAATCTCTTAGGTAGTTAGGATTCACAAGCAGCTACTTTTGCATTTGCTGACATTTACACACCTTTTTGGGATAACAGAATATTTGAATGCATTAATTAACAAGTTATGGAGATGCTAAAATCTTTTAAACACGGTACTGGAACAAAATTATTATATCAACTTAATCTATGTAAATGAATTTAAAACTTTCAACAATAAGTTAGTTTGGGGGGGGCAATGAAGGTTTGCTAGTTTAGCAGCTGCAGTTTCGGCAGCTTTACCATGTTGCTGAGAAAGCTGTGTTGGCAGCACTGTAACTGTTGAGCGCTGCAGGTCCGGTTGAGTTACAGGACTCTCCCTGCTTCGGGCATCAGGACCCAATCCTGTCGAGGTCCTGGAGCTGCCTCGGCCCCGGCTCGGCCCTTGCGTGGCTCTGCCGTTCCGCTGCGCTCCCCCTGCCGCGCCGCGGCCCCCGCTGCTCTCACCGCTGCTCTCTCAACTCTGATTGTTTTTCTTCGGAGAACATTCCTCAGCTTTAAAACAAGCCAAGTCTGAACGCTACCGCGTTCCTCCCTGATACAGGGCAAGTCTTTGATTCCTGTTCGGGCATCATTTGTAGGAAATTATAATATAATATAAGTCAAGGCACAGATGCAGACACCAGTTTAACCAGTTTAACCAGATTAACCCGTGACTGAACCCGTTGATTCAATGACACGAGGGTTTGAGTGCGGGGTTCAAACAGGGACACGTCACACCTGCAACCTTAACAACCAATCCCGACAAGGCCCTTCAGTGCACATGTGCAACAGAGTCCTGGAGACTTCGTTTCACAGAATGCTCTTCTGGCAGTCCCCCTGAAACCCAAAACGCTGCAAGAAGTGGGACTGTTCTCAGAACTTCAAGGTCTCCATTAGATTTCCCATCACTAGGGATGTTTTGCTAACCTGAGAAGCTTCCCTCTCTCCTTCCCTCCCTCCCTCCTTCCCCCTCTCTTTACCTCTTCAGGTCAACAGCAAGGCTTCTGCATGATGTGCATCATGGAAGTACACATTAGGAAGGTCCTGCATTCCTCAGCCAGTGCCATCCTGCCTGGGGCTGTTCTCAGGGACCTCAAATGTAAGTTGTTTTAGGTGCTTCAACAGATTTTCTTCTTTCTCTTCCCTTTAGGGTAGAGCTACTAACTTCTTCTTTCTTAGTCATAGGAGAAGAGTTTGAGTATGGCAGGCAGGAAAACGCCTATGAATTCTTACGCTGTGCTCTCAGTGCCATGCAGAGAGCTTGTCTGAGTGGCAGCAGCGAGTAAGCACAAGCAAATTACTTTCTCACTGTTCCCGAACCTGCTGGGCTCCTTGATGTGCTCCCATCAAGGAAAACTGATGTCCAGGGCCTTCAACTTGGACTCTTAGAGGAGGTAACTCTCTTCCTTGCCATTTATTTTTATTTCCAGCACGGACATCTCTTCACAAGAAACTACCATCGTACATCAGATATTTGGGGGCTTTATGAGATCCAGAG